AGTCAACCGTGACATTCTAGTCGTTATATCATACATACAAGAATTCACAGCTACCAATTCTCGCACCAGACAGACATAGTATGTTGAGAAACCCTCAATACTTAGATAAAACACACGATGAAAGGAACCAGTGTCACAAAAAAGGCAGTTAACGGGACAGTGACGAAAGACAATGGTGAAATACTCTTAGTGAAGAGACCAGAGTTATATGGTTTGTCTCTATACGCCCTAAGTTAATTGTATTGATGATTTCGCCAAAGATATTAGATAAGGGACAGAAATACTTTTGTAAGGATCAATAACAAAGTGGATTTTGGTTACAGTCTGATAGAATAGTCCACATGTTGCTGGAAGATGCCACTTATATCAATCGAGTTAAAAGAACTACTTTTGAAAGTAAGTCTGCTAAACTTCTTGAGCAATCGAAAAACACAACAAATTATGTATATTTTAAATTCGATGATGTATATATATTATGTATATAATTAAGTGTTTCCAACTCTAAACATCAACTTCTCTGCACTTATCAAGTTGTTCCAAGGACCTGATCTGACTCCAGAAGAAGGTGGCAGTAATCCAGAATCTACAAGAAGTTCACCACACAAACTCTTTGTAAGTATGCTATCTCTGATCTAGTCTAATAGTTCTTCACTTTAGGTTCAATAATGTGTAATATATATAAAGAGAGAAAAGTGAAGAACATTACTGTACTACATAATAATAGACTTTAAAAATGCTTAAAGTGGAATCACTTGAATATATATTATACGAATTGGGAATACAGTTATACAGATTATGACCAAGGGGATTTCTTGTGGTAATTTGGTTGATAACTAATGTTGTGTCTATGTTACTGAACAGAATAGACGGTCTTATTAGTGAAAACCAAGATCTTCAAAATTAAGAATTCAATGATTTATAATTAGTGTAGTTTTAAAATAACCTTGATAGTTTCGGTGTAAATGGATTGCTCAACAGTGTATAAATGAAAAGACTATTTGATTTGTATTCAGTTGTCTCTGTGTGAGTTTTTTATTCCACAGGTAAACTTCCTCGAGTTGGTGGCTTATGTGCTCCACTCGCGAAATCACGACCGGAAATTCAAATAAATGTCTTTGTAACGAGTGTAAAGTCGAACCCAACGAGCTGCCCATACACCCATTATACTTTATTCCAGTGAAGAGTGTGGGACAACATAGAATAAATCGATATAAATATATGATTCCGTGTGTGTGTGCCACGTAACTGTTCCTAAACCGCTGGGCACATCGACTTCTAAATGGCATCAAACGAATCGTCTCGATCCCAAAGGCCCCCAACGGCACAGCGATTTGTCTGCGAACTTACAACACTGGAAACTGGGTTTTGATACCTGTGATGGACAGAGCACAGGTAACCCATTGTGTAGCTTCATGTTTAACCCAAATATATCATTCGTTATATTCTGCTATCTCCAGTTGCTATATTAACTACTGAATGCATCAATTGAGAAAACGCGCCAAATCAAGTTGGTAAGACTATGAAAGTGTTATGTTGTTTAATATAGATTTGATAGTCAGTGTCTGCTTATCCTTGAAATGAAACTGAATATCGTCGTCAACTTCCATTCCATTAACAATAATACAATACCTGACACTACGATTGCTAAAAAAAAATACAATTATGTCGTTTACATTGGTCCCCTGTTACAGACGGCACTTAACATTTTTTTTTTTTTTAGGAACATTCAAGCTCTTGCGTATTAATTGTAATAAGACAGAGGGCGCTAAATTATTCGAGCTAGGCTATGAGTGGACCCAGGGTAAGATAAATATGTATTTATTGTATGGCATTATATCGTATAAGAATGTTTCGAAGGTTTGTAAATAAATTAATGTGTTCTCTCATGCTAATCAAATTATAGTATTTAATAGTACTTTTTTCACGTAACATCAAACATAAGTTTAAATTTAAAGGGAAAAATTACCCCAAGCTGGCATCTCACCGATATATAATTCAAAATCGTTTTAAAATATATTTTACAAATTATAGATTAGGGTGCTATGTTTTATATGATTCTTATTTTTTGTTTTTCTTTCGGAAGTTTTTTGGTTTTATTATATAAAAATTTGAATTGCACTCGCAGTAGAAACAGGAATATTTTTGCTCTAGAAAACAACTGTCAGATGTAGTTAGTTATTTTCAGTAAATAAGAAATGCCAGAATTAGTATATATAAGTTCCCTGGGATCTCGTAGGATAGCTACATGATTTTAAACTTTAATGAATTATGAAAGTAGCAGTTGAACTGTAATTTTTGGGTTTCAATTAATTAAATGAATGCTATTTAATGTAGAGGAAGAGACACTAATATGCACTAGGTAATTACTAGTAGTAGTTGCGTTAGCAATACAGAACTAATAGTAATAGTAGTACTACTAATTAAATTATTAAGGCCCCACAGCGACATGTCTGTGAATTTACAACGCTAGAAACCGGGTTTCGATACCCGTGGTGGGAAGAGCACAGATAGCCCATTTTGTTGCTTTGTGCTTAACTTCAAACAAACAAACAATACTAATTAATAATAGTGTTGGTAGTTCTACTACTAAAACAATATGGAGCTATGTTCAATCAGATAAAAATAAATTTTCCTGTCAAGAGATGATAAACAGTGATAGGTACAGGGGTGCTGCTGGATGGGCTCAAGCCCCTTCCTTTCTGCTTGTATGCCCCCAAAATGTGCTCTCTTTTTTTTTTTTCTCAGTCATAAGTATTGGCCATAACTAATAAAAGTAAAAGACATGCGTGATTTCACACTTTGCTTACTGTGAGGTGTTAGAGGAAAAATTATTTCAACTTTAAAATGAATGGTATTTACAGTAAAAGAATAATTATGATATGCTATTAAGTGTTAATACATAGTAATTCACTGTTTAGTGTTAAATTATAATAAATGTTTATAAGACCAATTAAATAGGAGTAAAAGAGGATCTACTTGCTTCTTACTTTTTACCCTATATGTACCCCTAAAAAGTTATCTTGTGATGCTTAAAAAGTGCCTTTTTTGTCAGTGACTCCTTGCCTTTTTAATGTCCATTATACAATATTGATGATGAACTTACTTCTGATGTAAAGTAACACAACTTTTTACTGATTAAATATTTCACCATTTTAAATCAGGTTTCAATTATTTTTAATGAACATTTTTCAAAATACAACTTCAAATGCTAAGTGTCATTGTGGTCATTATATGTCACTAGTTGTAATAATAACAGCAATAATATAGTGCAAAAAATCTATCATATCTATCCAGTTATAGACTATTAGGTTTCTAAGTAAGTTATGTTACGTTACATAGTAGAAATAATGAAGATTCTTGATGGAATGCTTGTTTGAAACTGTTGTTTTTGTGCTTCAGATTTCATGCCCATCTTTTAATACTTATTAACAATTTAAATGCAAGAGACAGTAGCACTATTTTAATATTAGCATCTACCCCTAGGGAGCTAAGTGATAACACACAAATCACCCTCTGTTTTCCCTAAAATGTACAGTAATCCCATGTCTATTAGCTATCGATCTCATATTCTACTTTAAGCTATTAAAAAAAGGGTGCTGAAACATCATACATTGACAACACAAGACCATATAGTCTTTTAAGACTGTCTTGCAACCCAGCTTGAGAAAAGTAAAAAAAATTAAACTCGCCCTTTATTTTTCTGGAAATTATTGATTCCTCTCTTAAGCTCCTGTAAAGTTCTGGCCTTCATTATTGACAACATAATTATTTTAACTGGTATTTCGACAGTCTTTTTCAAGTCTGAAACTTGTATCCTCCCAAACTGTTATTGGCAAAATACAGTACAAATATATGAGGGGTCTTTATCATACCCATTCGTTGTGTAATATTGTAACTTTCAGTATGATCATTTCTTACCCTTTTTTTTATAAAAGAAAGTAAGATATCTGTTAGGGAAGATTTCCCTTTAGTGAATCCATGATGGATTTCTGTAAGGAAGATTTCCCTTTAGTGAATCCATGATGGATTTCTGTAAGGAAGTTTTCCCTTCAGTGAATCCATGATGGATTTCTGTAAGGAAGTTTCCCTTCAGTGAATCCATGATGGATTTCTGTAAGGAAGATTTCCCTTTAGTGAATCCATGATGGATTTCTGTAAGGAAGTTTTCCCTTTAGTGAATCCATGATGGATTTCTATAAGGAAGTTTTCCCTTTAGTGAATCCATGATGGATTTCTATAAGGGAGATTTCCCTTTAGAGAATCCATGATGGATTTCTGTAAGGAAGATTTCCCTTTAGTGAATCCATGATGGATTTCTGTAAGGAATATTTCCCTTTAGTGAATCCATGTTTGAGTTCTGTAGGTGAATATTTCCCTTTAGTGAATCCATGTTTGATTTCTGTAGGTGAATATTTCCCTTTGGTGAATCCATGATGGATTTGTGTAAGGGAATATTTCCCTTTAGTGAATCCATGTTTGACTTCTGTAGGGGAAGATTTCCCTTTAGTGAATCCATGATGGATTTCTGTAAGGGAAGATTTCCCTTTAGTAAATCCATGATGGATTTCTGTAAGGGAAGATTTCCCTTTAGTAAATCCGTGTTTGATTTCTTTTTAGGAGTAACATTATTAACTCCTAAATCTCCAGAAACCTGGTCTCTGACCAGTGACCTACTTCATTGACCTTATTTGGCACTGGTGCATTATCAATTTTTAAGATTTCTACTTACCACCAAAGAACAAATATGTAAATGATCAAGTAAATTCCAGAACCTAGCTGGAGAAGGTTCTCCTGGTTTTTCTATATGTGAATTTTTTGTCATGTTTTAAATCATCCTTTTGTTTTGTAATAGTCAACAGGTTTCATGTTGATAAACTATATTCTAGTGCTGGTCATGAAGTAGTTTCGTGGAAGGTTGGAATTTTCTCCTGAGAATAATTTGTAAAACTTTTTTCATGTACCTTATATATTAAGTTGTTTTCTTACTTTATGTCCTTTAAGTTGCAAATTACCTTAGACGATAACTCCAGTCTGTTTGTTTGTTTCCCGGTCCTAGTGTGATACCATTTTAAATGGTATGTAAATCTGTAAGATTGGCAAATTCTCGGTACTGTATGTTTGGTTTGTTGGTGGAAGAACTGTTTTGTTTAAATTTTTCATGTGTAATCATTCTGTGTGTATGTGTTCTAGCTCTTTTTGATCTTTACAAAATATATGTATTTTATTCCATGAGAGTTGTATTATCTCCAGTGAATTGTTGCATGGTGGTTTTGAATTAAGGGTTACAAACACCCGAGATCAGAAGTTGAAACTATGAATTATTTTAAGTTACAGAATGTAGCTAATTTAGTCTGTCAATAATTACAGTAATGACATGCTTTAAGACCTTTTTTTAGATTTCTTTTGAGTATCAAAACTATAATTCTCACTCATCAATGGTGTTTAAGTTCTAATTTCTTTTTTTTTTTTGATTAGCGAGCTTCAGATAAGCTCACACGTTGATGATGGAAGTATTGAACATGAAAGTTGAATATTTCTCTGATGACGGAGAAAATGCTTTGTTGGGAGTCAAGCTGCTGAAGAGTGAAGAAATTGAAAGAATATCTTCTAGAAGTAAGTTCATATTTTTCTTTCTTGTTATTGTGATGACTGTTCAGTACAGTAATATCATGGTAGATTCTCTGACCTCTTCTCATGATGACTGTTCAGTACAGTAATATCATGGTAGATTCTCTGACCTCTTCTCATGATGACTGTTCAGTACAGTAATATCATGGTAGATTCTCT